AAGCACACTTTGTTTCGTCGAACAAATTGGCTTTCACACATTTATGATCGGATACTGGATATCATATTTCAAGTGTGATTGTTCTTCCACACGTTACTGATGAGTAGAAGCTTAAGCTGTCAACTCCGACAACAAACATTGCGTGAACACTGTTCAAATCGTTTTTCCCGCCAGGTTTTTTCAATAATCTTCACCCAACCCATCAAATGTTAGCAAAACGAGTTACGTTTCCGGGAATGTTTGACAGGGTTTCGGATGGCATTTATGTACACAAAATAAAAACCCAGAAATTACAATTTTGTTGACCGTTTGAGCAAAAGATAACGGTTAGTAGTCTGAACAATAGTGCAAAGACTTTGATCGACAGAATTCATTTTGCCGACTGCAATTCGGAGAGCTTTAAATGGAAACAGGAAACAGAGATCGAAAGCGAGAGAGAGAGACAGTTTGTTCATTTTTATCCACAAATCAATAGAATTGTAGTTTATTGGACATTCTAGTCTTAACTACAATCATCGTCATTCCTCTGGTCAGTTTGACTAATTTCGGAAGATCGACTTCTATCATTATAGACAGATTTCATCAGCCTCCGTGGAATGCTTGTGTGTGTGTGTGTCGACGAGAGAATCGTGGTTCCCGAACCCGTCCCCCATCCCACGGCCCTCTGCGGTTCACGAATTTCGAAAATGAAAGGAAATAGACAGATCCGAATGTGTGTCTGTGTGTTTCATAACTGTTTGTTTATTTCTGCGTTTCCACATAAACTATACAAAACTTGAGGACTGACACAGTTTGTGCGACTGGGATTTGGATTTTGTCAGTTCCGGACTCAGAGCTGTGTAGACCGAATCCGATTGGCCCCTATCAATCCGAATAGTTGTCACGTATTTGTCCTTATCCATTGAATCTTTCTCGTCCATTATTAAATCACTCACTCCGGATGGATTTGTTGTTTTTTTGTCCACCGAGCCATCAAACTGTACTCCTGGATGTGTGGATGGCAAAAGTTGAAACTCGGTTTCTCTGCTACTGGGATAAAACGTTTGCGGTTTGTAGTGGTTTCCATTGTTCAGCAGCAGACCGGGACAAACAGATTGATCTACAATGTGTCAGATGTGTCAAGATGAAACAAAGAGATTTAAACCATACAATTTTTCAAACACTGCTAACGGAGGTCTAATTATTGACCGAGTTACGAAAGAATGGATTTATTTGCACACATCTCTAATTTGAAAACAAAAATATAGATTGCAAAGACCGGTAACGCTTTGTTCAGGCACGAAGTTAAAAGTGAAACCACAGTTGACTGACTATTTGGTTACCAAAATCTTGAATAAACTATTTACATTATCATCAGAGAATCACACTGTGTGAGGCATGCTGAACAAGCAATCTCGGAGAATATTATTATTCATCGTGTGGTCCGTGTTAACTTTCTCCCGTCCCTTGCGAACGCCCAAAACCCACACTGTCTTTATCGGTCTAAGATGACAAACGACGCGGTTGACCTCAGACCACGTCGACTGGTTCTGTTTGGACAATTATTTGTATAAGACTGCACGCGTGAGATATGGCTTCTCAATAAACGACCATTGGTATCCTATCCCGATCGTGGCAAAGCACAATAAAACCGGGGATGCACGCAACCTCCGTCTCCTGAATGAGGAGGCGGTTTCCTGTTTTGTGTATTTACACACCTTTGCAGATGTGTTGGTATGCTACCATTGTCGTTCCCGGCCAGTATTTGGCCCTCAATCCAATCCACACCATACCAATAAAGCGGTTCGGTCGGGTCATAAATGCACGCAACCCAGTGTATTTGTTCTGATAAACTGGTATAAGTTTAGAAATGTCAATGACCAGTTTCAGCATACGAGAAACTATCAAGATCAAAGAGAATAATTTGCCCCGGTTTGCTGATCAGTTGATTGTAAAAACAGGAAATTTGTATAGGATTTGTCATTTGTTCAATTATGTGCTGTTTTACCTCAGTGCTTACGCGTTTAATTACTTATTTCGCCAATTGTTGTCCTCTTTTTTGGTAATAAATAAAAACTATTACTCGAAATGTTCGGATGAGTCATACTCATTTCAGAAGCAAATCTAAACGTGCAATGTGGTCTTCAGCCGGAACTCACCTTCAGCAGGACAATTGGAATGAACCAAAAAACTGTAATCGTTTGCGTTTAAGGTTGATTCGGGAGCGAGACGAGATATTGTCTGACATGGGCTTATTAGGGAAGAATTCGTAGAGTATAGTAGAATATCGGAAGAGTGAACGTCGGTCATTCTATGTCCTTGTTGTTCGGATACTGCGGAGAAAGGGAAGGAAGACGGAGAAAAAGAGCACATTAACGTAGATAGTTAAGTGGCATCTAAACCGGAAAATAGCCACTCGTCCGCAGACTACCGTTTGATGTATAAAAACAGAAGAAATAAGCGCACAATCTCATGCACCTCAGGACAGATATATATATATATATATATATATATATATATTGTGAGTTATGTCACACATTAATCAAAATGATAATTTGTATGTATTTTACTAAATGTTTCCCATTGTAATATCTGCCTTCTTACTCCTTAACCCCCATTCCGCCCCCTTCCCCAAGGTCACCGTCAGCATTTGTCATAATCACGTCCACAGTGCCTTTGACCTTGAAGTCATCTTTGTCCGGAATTTCCACTAATCCCTGCTGCTTCAACGCTTCTCAAACCCCCCTCCAAAAGAAAGACTAACAAACCGCTCCGTCCATGAATATTTCCTCATACATTTCCCTTCACAATGTTTTTGACGTTGGGGTTGACCCCAGTTTGATTCAGATCAGTTCATGGATGAAGAAGAATAAGGAACTGATAAATAAAAGCTGATATACCTAAAAAGAAGCTCCAGCTGCACCTTTTGATATGAGACAGTGAGCATTTCAACGAAAAATTCGGACAGCAAATGCGATTTATAAAACCTTGGATTTGTTTGATTAAATCAATAACTACAAGATGTGAGTCCTTTTTACCGATGCATTAATGAACTCTTATTTTCCAACTTATCAAAACATAATTTGTACTCAATAAATGAACCAATGGATAGTACTCGTGCCTTATCGGAAACATTGTTCATCACGACCATTTCAGAAAAAAAATGCCACGACCAACTTACAGTTGGAAACTATTTCCACCATTTTTTCCNATTTTTTCCAATTTAAGAACAGAAATTAGAACGAAACGGCAGAATTTGACACAAAAGAAGGATAGTGCTACCTTTTGGATGTCTTTATCCTCCTCCATCTTCACCCCGGCCCCTGCTTCCCCCCCCCCACAAAAAAAATTAACACGGTCGATACCAGCGACCCCATAGTGGTGTATGTTTGAGCGAGGCATTTGTGACCAATCCGGGTCAGAGCACTCCCCACTCTCTAGCACCCACCACCCGGGAGTGAGGCGATAAGGTATCAAGTTTCTGACTAGCACGGATTTCCCCTATCTCGGTAGATCAAATCAGACACGCACACTCGCATCACGAAAAGGAAAAAGAAATTCGGAATCGAATGGTGAGAATGGAAGTAGGGAACGGTAATCCTAGATTTGTTCCATACTGTCACACAATGACTCTCGTTCTACCAACACAAAAGGTAATTTTTCAATTCTCAAAAAAGACGCGATTACTGTTCCAATCGGAAAAAGTGATAAGCATTCACATGGAGCTCGCAAGATAGTCAGCGATTTGGAGACAGAGAAATGACCGCTGTAAATCAGACAGCGTTGTGTTACCGCAACTGTGAACATTGGTTCCTCAATCACCGAAATTTATTATGACCTGTGATCAGAAATGTTTGAGCAAAGATGTGAATTTTCTACCTCACAATTCGTTTGTTCACCTCAGGACACATCTCAAATGGTTGTCCGACATGTTTAACAGCTGGCGGACTTATTAGTTCCTGTGTCTCTGTGCATCATTGCATTCGATGTTTACCTCAAATAGAACAACAGAATACGCTTATTGTTAATAACATTGGAGTACAAAAAGGTAATCAATAATTTACAAACAGGGGCTCGTTTTTGAATCAGGCAAAACCAATATAACTTATTGAGGAAGGAGAGTAGGAGGAAATAAACGAAATGAAAGTTTTATGGGGCCAAGCATATAGACACCGGGATCCACTGAAAAGAAGGAATTTACGAAATGTTATTCCGCTTAACGAAGTGTGATTAAAAACAGGGGAATATTAGTTCCAAGTGCGTGTCTAATCTGCACACATGCATCTGTAGAACATCCAGTACACTACTAAACGGGTGGACACAAATGCAATCTGTATTTCAGAGTACTTCATTTGGCTGATGCTTCGTTTTAGCAATTATACGTTACTACAAAATGACTATCTTTTTATCCCACTCTGATGTTATTTTCCCCGTTAAATGGTATAGAATCTACAATCAGGAAGACTGTCGACCTTGATAATCACTATGATCTGTTTTTATGCTACATTTTTGCTCCGAACCTTGTTTAAGAGTAGGGTTAATTTGTTTTTCTGATAAAACAAGAAAATGTGCGAACAAATCTCAGCCTTTTACTAAAATTCGGCGGAGGCTAAGTAAAACGTTCCAGGATAAGTGGTGGATTCTAAATTTCCCTGTAGGTTGGGCGCTTGATCGAAGTATGAAAAAATTAGTACTGTCGGTGTTTTCTCGTCGTTCAGCTTGTAGACATAGGCTACGTTAATTTATGGCTTCGGATAATTTCGAGCATATGGGGAGTTTAGACAATTGGAAATTTGGTCAGAGTTGACATACTATTTGCAAGTGAACAATATGTGATGGGCAAGCGTTTGGAATGTGGATAAAGGCAGAGCCAGATAAAAGCACCTGATCACCTTGTGAGGAAATCAAATGAGATAAAAGATAAATTAATTACCAAGTCTTCGTACCTCAGTATTAGTTTGTTTGTCCCATCACTATCATCACCACAGCACAGAGTAGTTTGCAGTATATGGAATTATTTTAGCTGCATTTTATAAACATGTGTCGGTATTGATGATTATTAGGCATTTAGGAAGCTAAATCCATCGCTGAAATTAAAGGATGCGGACAAAGTGGGGGCGAACGTTAGGTCTTAAAAGTAGATCATCGGTCAGTGATTGAATTCAAGTAATGAAACTATCGGTATTCTCTCATCAGCTACTCAAAGAAGCCTTCAGTTTTTATTTTGGTTACTTAATTTATTATTATATCAACACCCATCACCCAGACTTTGGATGTAGTTTAGCTTTCTACCATGATCAAACGCTTAATCTTGTGGGATTGAGCATTTCTGTTGGTTAATGATGATTGAAGTGAAGGAATAAAACTCCTATGACGACTACTGCTTGTCATTCACTCATCCAAATATACTCTAAACGCTTGAATATCATTAGGATTAACGTGTACTAGAACAACCAGACGTAAATGAGCAAAAAATACAGTACATACGCATAGTAAGTACGTATCACATGACATCCGGTTACTCCATGTTAACCTAGTCAATAGTCCATGCGTAGAGAGCAGAACTGCTTTCGTGCTCAACAAATTCACACAAGCGGCTGAGGGCATCTCAAAGCGGCAGCACTATCATTAATTACAAACATTTTAAATCAGGTAAGCACAGTTCCCATTTCCACTACAGCTTTTCTTTCCGGTTCGCTTATCGTCGGTCCACGGAATCGCGGTTTATTGTGATTATATCTAGTTTTGTTTCGCGAAACTTGCACTATATCGTGCTACATGTAACATTTGTCAGTGAAATCGTTTACCCAAAAATTCGAAAACCAAATCATCAAGTTTCATCATAACCAAGGAATATTAGATCCTAGGAGAATGCAGCATGTATTTCGTCAACGAATGAATCCATACTGTAATGTAAACAACGCCGGAAGTTTACATAAGGACGATCGTCACTCGAATGAAGAGATCAGTTACCTCCACGCCTTTAGCACAGCTACAAGTTACGACCAAGGCCGAAGACGTTGCACCATTTAACCAAGAGCCTGATTAATTGGTCCTTTCGAAAAAGCTGTAATCCTCTTTTTTGGCTAAGCAGTACATTCATATCATTATTATCGGGATCATCTCCACCGATACTGCTGAGCTACGTTATTCAGTATCTTCATCATTCAAGTTGTTTCATACTTCATTGCGGCGAACTTACGTAGATATCAAGGCATTCTTAAACTTGCACACGTCTAGGCGAGTAGGAAGTGTGTAGGGTTAAAGAAGTGAGCATGAGAGAGTTGGAAATGATGTTTGGGAGCAAATTGCAAAGCCCTCAAATACATGCAAATAATAAAGCCTTCTTGGATTTTTATCTATGAATGGGGTCTCTGGAACGTAAATCCGCGATGGATAATAATATCTCTGTATTCCAATTTCCTACTACAGTACTAAATTTCACGCACAACACTGAGGTATTACACGAATATTGTTCGCAAATTATTGAGTTGTATTAATTCATATTGATTTTCAATGAAAAGTTTGAAGTTTCGCTATTGTATATTGAGCAGGATGCTGGGGAAGGATGGACACGTAGATGAGAATGAGAGTTTCATAGATATTGCCGAATGATTGAATTGTAACACATAATAATTTACTACTGTGCAAAAAAGTGAATTGATTTTAAGAAGCTACAAAAGTTATGTTAATTCTCTCTCTATTTGCGTTTTTAGTGGACAGCAAAACAGAGAAAATCTGGGAACATATCAATTGACATATTCAAATTGTGAAGTCCGGAATACAATCAAATAAGAAAATCTACCCGAAACACGATTCAGATAACTTGAACTGATCCAGACAATTTTGGGTTCTTGGTGATGTGACTTCAAAAAAACAACATTTCTTTCTTGCCCGAATGCTCATAATTCATACATAATTTTTGTGAAACAAAAAATGGGTCTGTCTCTTTGAAAGAAAATCGCTGTGCTAGGTAAGAATGAACAGGATTTGCTTTGTCCACCAAATACTGTGAGAGTCCCAAAATATTTCCCTGATTTAACCAACAGAACACAAGCACTTTTATCGACGGAAGTCCGATACCTATGTCAAATTGCTGCACACATCAGTACTAAATTCAATAAACAAACAGTTTTGAGAAAAACCGCACACGCTTGTACACAAAGGTCTTTACTACAAAAAGTGCATATCAGTACAAGTTGTAATAGTAAAGGATGGTTGAAAAATACTCAAAACCAATCCGAACTGGCTGTTTCAACTTTCTCCAGCGATAAGTCAACTGACTTCGGACATCACTGTATTGTTTTAAATGCTTTTCACAGATACTTTCGAAAAGAATCAATAACTTTGATTCTTTGGAGGTTAATGCAAAGCTGTTACCTGTTCTTTTGATAATTTGCTCGTTTGAATGTGTGGAAATGATGAGAAGGCCTAAATCAGTTGACATCTGTAAACAATGTATATCTGGATCTCTCTCTCTTTCTGTAGAATCGAATTGTGACGATGATCCACACACGGCAAATGGCCTTTTGTAACCAGATCAATCGTAAAACGCAGAATGGTTCTCACCATCATTCCGGTTGGAAACCTTAAATACAAACGCAAGTGTACATTGAAGGTATGTTCAGCGTAGTTCAGTTGTTTCTGTTTAGATACTAGACTAACGAATGAAGTTAAAACCGTTGGAGTCAGGTCTATATTGTGCTAATCAAACCGGACTGTTGTACTGTTGTACAATGTAGTAATGGGGAACGTTTGGTAAATATTCATGGACCCTATCCATTATACCTCAATTATTTAACTCGGAAAACTGCTGAAAATTTCTACCGTGGAAAGCAGATTTTTATTTGTCGGGATCACACTTAAGAATATCGGACAATCAGTAGGATCATATTCAGGCCTCAGTCAGTTGCTTTTCTGATGCGAAATTGTCTCGAGTTGCTTTTCATCACATCCAAGTAGGATTGACCTCTGAATAGAGTTCCAAACTTCCCAGTATGTGTTGTTTAGCTGCTGCTGACCAGAAATTGGTAATCTTTCATAAAAATGTTTCTTAAGAGCTCAATTTATTCTGCGTGATATTATTTATCCTGACGAAAGGAAACTATCCTATATTTGGGCAATTTCCTTTCGTGGGTGAAACAAATGGTTCTCTTTCCTTGCAAATTTAAGGCCAGAGTGCAAACAAACTGTTTTAAATGTCGCATTATTTTCCATCATGTTTCATTAAAGTCCGATTGCGTGCCAGCTGTGGTTGCGATTGTGCTATTTCTGTATACATCTCAAAGTGGATTCCCGTCGCACCTCGGGAGAATAGCGAAAATGCATTTGTCCATGTCGTTACTAATGAATATCAAGGTGTAGGGAAACGCATTAGCACGTTTGGTTCGGATAATGTGACATTTTGAGGTTTTTTCAACATCTGTAAACTTAAAAATCTGCCCGACATAACAATAATGTTTCTTAAATTTATACTTTTAACAAAAATAGGAATAATTTACGCCACTTCTACTCCTAATTATGTTCGTATCATCATCAATTGTTGATCAGACTAGTCGCATCAAAAACTTTGGAAAAATGCTGGTCACTCAACTATCAGTAGTGGTTTGTTTCTTACCGTGTTCTGTTATCTTTGCGCAAATGGAAGCTAACCAGTGATATTAGTGCTGAAGTTCACTTGAGTTGATTAACCATTTCGTCGACTTTACGCTCTGGAGCGTACGTCGTGGAATGCATTAGCAGACTTATTTCCATCCCATTCGGAGCTACTGGACTCGGTTTTCTGACCTTTTCAAACAGATTTCTAATGAATTTCCATAGTTTGAACTCTAGATACTTTGCAAGGGTGGCATGTTTGTGAACCATCTTGTTCCGGCTTTGACGAATGCTGACGATGGAAGTTTGTTCACACGCTGTGTCCAATGATCTGATTTGATCAAGAGTTTCAAATAGAGTAGAGATTATTTATTGGATGGCATTTTGTCTCTTGTTGTATCACCAAAGAGCCAGAACAACTGGTTGATTGTCTTTGAAGACGACATCTAAACCCACATGCTGGTAAAACGAAGGGTGCCTCTGGTATTCGGCGATAACATTCACCTGTTCGAATCCAAATAGATGATTGAAAAACTTACAAGAATTAAAAAACAAAGAACTCCAATGGTTACTCGCAATCATATTTTCTTTGACAAAACAGAGGACAGAATTTTCCCCTTATTCTCGGAAACAGCTAATCAAGCCGAAACCAATCAAACAGCAGACTTTCTATTCATCACTGAGGCACTTTCAAACGGTCACAAACTGATTGAATTAAATAAAACTGAATCAGCACCGTCTTAAAAGGTTAACTTGAATAATATTCCGTCTCCTTTACACTTACTACTGAACGGCTGTCTGGAACTGAGCGTGCTTGATAGGTGCACCGGATAGTAGGTATCTGTTGGGGTAATATTATTTCGATCCCCATTTGTTGCTGACCGGGGGGATCGTACAGCGGACTTTGAACCGCCAAAGCAATTCTCCATGTATGTCCCAAAACAACCAGGTCTACCATTTGCCCGCGTAGTACGCCTCGTGCGTTCTGTAGGCCTTCGGGAGGAGCTGTGACCAGGAGTGCCCCATTTAGTCCCATTCATCGACCCGATTTGTGTCTGTGGTGGTTGATTATGTTTGAGCTTTCGACAACGTATGACGACGAATAGAATGAATATTAAGAGTAGTGCGGCTAGAGTTGCCGTAATCATTGCCACAAGGGTCAGAAAGTCAGATGACAACAAAAGCCCACCAGCGGGCTTCTCGGGATCGAAATATCCTTCGGAATGCATTTCAGCTGGTGAGGCATCTGAACCGGCCTCACGAAATTCCATTTGTTTGGTGTGACGCGACTGGTCAGTACTGATGGAAGATTTTGAAGACTGCATTTGCACTGGAATCTGAGGCGTTCGCTGTATCAGAATGTCCAAAACAGAAGAGGAGGTGCGGGGCGGATCACCTTGATCGGATGCCTGAACGTAGAGACGAATCATGGAAGCGGATCGCGTTTGCCATGTCTGATGTTTCATTCGTTGATTCTGTGGTCCACTCATGGACATTCGATTCTGGTAATCAATTGGCTGTGCCAAATAGATCCATCCGCTCTCACTGTCCAGTTCAAATTGCCCCGCCTCGTTACCACTGAGAATGGAATAGGTGATTCGTCCCCTGGGTCCTTCATCCGGATCGTGCGCAATCAACTGCAAGAGTCGGAAAGACAACAACTTTAAGTAGTCACACATTCACATTAATACCAATCATGGTTGAGTACCAGAGTTTAAGTTGATCGATATCACATTGTATCAGTAATAATAAAGTCTTACACAAGTGTATTTTATTTGCGACAACAATGGATCTACTATTCAGGAAGTGGATCATTGTGAATAAAATGCAGCTTCCAATGGATCAACCTTAGTGGATTTTAAAGTCAAGGGCTACGAGACGATGAACAGATGGCCATTAAACTTCAGCTGCCGACTGTTCATTTGCTCAGGGAAATAAAATCCGGTTTTACTTTTAAATTTTATCTTCGGTTAGAAACTCAAATCCAACATAAGCACCATCTAATATACATTTTCTACCCCAGAAATAGTGTTACACTGTGAGACCAATACTTTCATATTCACGCTTAGAAAAGAGACACCAAGTGAACTTTGTTTACCAATTTGGGTGGATGCGTTTCCGAGAGACATGACCTGTCATAAACACATGCAATCAAAGCCCGGTTGAGGTCAGTTCAGCACGGATGTTTATGGCATTCACACAACTGGTAGCTAACAATACAACGCGGATTTTATGTTAGAAAGAGAAAGAAAATTTTGTTTTCATATGATTGTTTTCGGTGAACAAAATTGCCTCACATATTTTGTGAACAACATAGGGAATGGACAAGGTTTTGTAAAACCTTCCGTATAGTGAATGTTTCACCCACCACAGTTATAAAAATAGTGGACTTTGTTGCTTGAAGTACTTTGAAACCGTGACACCAATTAATTGATTGAGCAGTGATGGAAATTCAACATTTTCAGGCTTTGGTAGACTTGAAATAGCCTATCTTCGAAATTCGCGTTGACTTCGGTGAAACAAGTGACTTCGGTCAGGGAACCGCGCAATTCGAGCTCAGTAGAATATTGTTCTCTCGAAAACATATATCATTACCTATGAGCTTGCATGCATTTGTCCAATGAATAATTGACGAACGTGACTTGTAAGCTGCTCCGTACTGATTCGATTAGTGGTCGATACTTTTCTGGACAAACCTGCTTACAGACACACACACACACGCATACGCATACTCCCGGTGCAACCCCCCACATGTTAGAGCTCTGTTTCGCTGGGGAAACTACTCTTGACTATTGCACATCAGAAGGTTTCTGGGAAATATGCCTTATTTTCTCGGTTCTTAGCTACAGATACAGGACGAAAAGCAGAAATCGTTGGATTATTATATTCTTGACTTTCCTCTTCAGACGTACGTATTTTACCATCATTTTTCTTTTACACGAATGGAATTGAGGCATGACGTTTTCTTCCTTCTAACCCCTATTTTAACCAGGTGGTTCTGTTTGAGTTCAGTTCCGTTTTCGAACATTTTGATTTGAATATAAATGAATCTATGTATACACATACAAGCCGACGCGTTTGAATAAAATACACACCCTGCAACCTACTCTATCTCTATGAGATGAACCCCTGTGTATCGTGAGAATTTTACGGTAAGGAGTACATCAAACAGAAGATTTTTACACGAGAACACAATTTAACGAACAAGCTTGTTGGGTATGCTTAAATGACGATATAATTACATCACATGTACAAAAGAGAGGTATAAATGGAGGCACGAGTTAAGGCTCTCGGTAGCTTCTCGTGACCTTCAAACAAAAGTCTCAAAACACCGATGATGGCCGGTTAGAGATGTGACACTGTGATAATTGGAATTTACGGTATGTGGGTGTGTGTCACGTGTAAGCATGCATGGGTCTTTTGGTGCATAAAGAGAGGCTAGGGAAACAAATTCGTGAGTTGGCTTCTGTCGACAACCTTTCATTAACCGTGGTGAGCAGAGGTAGTACAGCGCGCACTCTGACTGTGTGATTGGACTCAACCAAGTGGTTTGTACTGGCCGCCAATTCGGTCCTTATTAATACCTTGTGACCAACTAAGGCGATGAAACTTAATGCGATCGGATAGAGACGCGTCATTCGACCTCCACGAACGACTCACTTCACAGAAGAAGGTTAAATGAGAACCATTACATAAGGTTCAATCTGTAACCCTTTGTTTGGCTATAGTTGACCAAAAAGATAAATGGTCTGAGCACGTGTTGGATTTGGTGCTTCTCGGTGTGGTTTCTGCACTTCATACAGGAGTAAAATAATTTATTCATTATTGTAAAATTATTGTCTCTTATGAAGAGGAGAGGTGGATTGTTTTTCAATTCACTATTTCATATAATGACTTGAGTAGTTGCACCCCTAAAGTTCAACATATGATCACAGATTCAGCATATATATTTTGACGAAAAAAGAATTTCTCAACGTTTTGAGTTCATTTTCTCGGAAAACAATTGTTGATTTGATGCGAAATACATTTTACTACGAACAAAATGGCACAAAACTAAAGTGATGTGTATTGTCCTGTCAAAGGTTACTTAGGGTAAATGGCTGTTTTAACCAAGGCATTGGGTAATCGTAACGGAAATCTACAACTCAGTACGCTAGAACACAACGTTTCGTAATGCGAGTTGTCTCAATTTATGAACAGAACGATAAGATTTGCGTAGAATTACCAGTGCAACTAAAACCCTTCGCAATACGACTGTAAAAACTGGATTCTTCCGGAAGTCTTTTAATTGTTTTGTGCGAAACCAATTTAGTCATTAAATAACTTGCAACTTGTTTCACCGGACGACATCAAGGATATTGTAACCATTGTTTTGGTTTGACCGTATTACCATTGTACTTGCTCTTTAAAAAATGGAAATTTTTCATCATAATCTTGAATGTTCTATCAACGAATAACCAGCAAACATCGAAAGTTCATTACATGACTTCTGCTTTCATTTTAGAAGGTTATTTTACCCCGAAACATGCCATCATCCAGTGTAAAATAGTCCATTTTTGCACAAATTGGTTCTAAACCACGAGTATTCGATTGCGCAGTCGTTGAGAAAAACAATTCAAAAGCGAATCGAAAAGTATTTACAGGCAATTTTGAATTACATATTCTGTATTCCATGTAAAAAGTTGTTTGGTATGGATACTCAAGGAAAAACGTGATAATTCCCGAAGCGACGTTTTTATTTCTGGTATAATAAGTGGATAGACGCAGGTTGTCCGGGATCTCTAACTGAACGAAAACCTATTCTTCAGTAACTGGTTTCATCAATAATGGTCTCATTTACCGAGATCCCAGTTGAACTGTGCACTGTCAACAATGTTCAGAGAAGGTTCCAAGATCCATTCTAACCCTATACCTATATGTGTTTCTTGCGTTTTTTTCTGTCGACCCGTTTAACCGTCTATTACAGATCCCGGTTAATGCACGAAACTAATGATCAATTTTGCCCCTGGTCGTCGTCATCAACATGCCTCAGACAATTTAATTACACAGATCCCCGTTCTTTCACGAACACCTGTAATAAGGTCACATCGGGCTTGACCCGGACAAAACAATTTTTATTGAGGGCACTTGCCGGAGGACAAAGGGTCCTGACAGACCCTCCTCCTCCTCCTGTTCCTCCCCCAACCATTCTGCAATATCTTACCATAAAAATAAATCATTTATTTTGTTTATCCACCGTACCTGGAAGTCTGTCGTGCGGCAATCAGCTTTTTGCGGTATTAAAATTTTCTCAAATTGTTCTAGTGAATGCCGGTTAGAAGTGGAAATCTTTCCGCTGGGATTATCGGGAATGTAACTTTATTTACAGCAATCAGGTGAATGGTCCGTCAAAACAATCAGGGAACGTGCAGAGAATGCAAATTTGATTTATATCTTATAGCTTCCCTCGTGCGCATAATCCGCTCAACTTATCTGATATAGTTTTGCCATGAAGTTAAGCACAGATTGAGCTAAACTTCACATCCAGATCCGTGAACTGACCGGAAACAAAACCATATAATCTTACTATTCCGATAAAGCCCCCTTTGCGGTTTGCTTTAACCAGCCAGGTTCATTTTCGCATTAATTGTGTACCAGTTGATCGATTTCAAACTAATCGCCTCAATAGTCAGCTATAACACAAACACACGCACAAGTCTCTCGGGGTTTTTCGTGAATTCAAACACGGTACTTGTTTTATAATTAGACATAAATTGTGCGTCTGGATTCAATTCCTGTGTTTCGGGCCCGTAAAATGCAAATGAGCTTTACCCCTTGATGAAACGCTTTGACCCGATCGCCTGTTCGGAATCGGGATTCGTGTGGAATAGTTGTTGCTTCCAGTTGTTCGCATTCACGGACAGGTTAACGGCTTGCCATTCCCAATGTGAAAGTGAGCTTGATTTTTATTTCGTTCAAGATGAGAGGATATTGAAACGTTTGTCATATTTGTGTGTAATTGAATTCCCATGATTAGCCGACCAACAACGGTCATTTGTGAACTATCATTAGTGTGTAGCAGCCGCGTGCTCAGCTCGCTTTTACGAAACAGATTACGGACCACATGATTTTGCCGGAGATACGCCTTCTACCCGGTGTCCACCTGAAGCTGCACAATGGAAATTAGGCGAATGATCGCTGGCTTTGTCTCGGTGCGATGACATTTGTCAGAACGTTTGAATTTCGTCATTTCTGAGGGAGAAGGAGCGTGCATGAAAAAAAGAAATGTATCTCATATTTTACGTTCACCTTGGTGGATGAAAGCACCAACTTTACGAAAGACGGAGAATGCAATTTTTGAGAGAATTTGAAGATGAATGGTATTTTGAACGGCACAATCTTCAAAACGTTTCGAACTTAGCGGAAGCAGATTGAATTTCATAACGCTCAAGTATGGTCGTTTCTCCCTTTCTCTCGTTTGATTTTTATTGTCTCTTTCCACAACTGTTCACGTCTCGTTTTTATTTACTCCCGCATCACTGAAATCCGTCGTTTAATACCTGAAAGGTTCTGTTTAAAATTATCTTTACGAAAGACCCGAAGTTACATATCACGATGAATTACTAGGTTTACTTTAGCATCATATTTTTGTTTCATT